CTTAGGCGGATGAGGAGCCCCACGTGGTACTTTGGGCTGTACTCTGCCAATGCTCTGTTATAACCATAGGGAAATTTTATAGCAAGGTTTTTACAATCGGATCCCCTTCGACATCAACCCCTTTAAATGGTTTTTACATCTCGTTGAGGAGACGGTGATCCTATTCTAGACCAGGGTTGCCAGGTCAAAATTGTGGGAGAAATTCGGTATTTTGTGGGAGAAATATGAAAATTGCTAAAAAAAAAAATTTTGCGGGCCTTTAGTTATCCGCTTATTATTTTTTATAAATATAAAATCGAATCTATTCCAAAATAAAATAGGTAATTATTTTTCAAAATAAAATAGCCAACTATTTTTCAAAATAAAATAGCCAACTATTTTTCAAAATAAAATATCCAACTCTTTTTCAAAATAAAATAGGTAACTATTTTCCAAAATAAAATACGCAACTATTTTAAAAATAGGTAATTATAGTACGACACAAAATTTCTTAAATACTATCTTTATTATTAAAATAACATATTTATTTATTATAATATATTAATTTTGTTTAAAAATAATAACCAACGATCTTTTTTAAATACAAAAGAATGTAAACAAGATAAAATTTTATTAAAAAATAGTAATTTTACAATGTAAAAAAATATATTTTATGCTAATGTATAAATAAGATTTTATAAAAAAACAAACAATTTTACAATGTAAAAAATAATTATAATCAGTGCGGGGAAGTTGTTCTACAGTATTTAGTTAATACAATGGGGGAAGGGAATATGATATTTTGAGGCATTAAAAATCCTCAAAGAATAAATCAGTACAGGGCAGTCTATCAACATCTATTGCAAAACAAAAATATTCTTCAAAAATAAGAAATAATACAGATGCAACTACAGTTGCGGAAATGGTAAATACCTATCATGCAGTACAACATTCAGAGAGCTACTTAACATCACAATGTTGATAGAATCTTTCCCCATAATATTTAACGACTAATATAAATGAAAAGTATACTTTGTAGAACACAAATGAGCAAGGCTATCATCAATGTTTTAGGATATATATCCAGAAGGTCCTTGACGATTTGAAAGATGTGCAAACATATGCAATTCTAACATATGCATCTAATAAGGAGATATCAAAACATTTCCCTTGATCCTCCCTTATTTCAACAAAATTAATGTCATTTCAATAAAACTATTTAAAAAAATTTCTCCAGATATGAAATATCCAAAGACATAGCTAACCATATATAATGGTAAATATGGCAGATTTGGCATTACCAATGAATTGCATGGCAGCTTTCTGATCTGATAATTCCTCAGTGAATTTGGCAAAAACCAGAGTGTATTTACAGAATTGAGTCAGCATAATATTGGTTGACAGGTTCCTCCTAATACGCGCCATCGTAGAATTTTAAAATTTTACAAACCTTTAAAAAATAAATAGATTATAAAAGCTGTCTTAATATTTTGAAAAAATTTTCAAAAATAAATGGCAGAAGTATATTTAGGAATTTTACATATAGGAAATCTACTATATGCTGTTAATATGCAGTTGCAATCAGAAGAATATAATTTAATAAAGGTTCACTAAATTATGCTGCAGAAATACCAAAGTAAGAATATTATTACTATTATCGGATAATTATTAATAAGATTTAATATGATGTCATGTTTGAGGAGATTGTAATGCTTCTTTATTTTTATGATTTGCCAAAATATTCAAAATATTAATTTTACAATGTAAAAAATAAATTTATTTGATTTTATGCAAATGTATAAATAAGATTTTATAAAATATAGAAAGTCAAATAGTTATAGTTAATTATATTTTATTTGAGATTTAAAAATGGAACTAAACGTTTACCGTCGTTATTAAGATATTTATAAAATTCCCTCGGCCTCTAATGTTGTTAAAGCAATTCGATTTCTCTCCTATCTCCAGGCAGTCCTCATCAGGCTAAAAATGCGCTCCGATGGAGCATTAGAATGAGGTAAGGAGAAAACATACTCTCAAATTTTTTCCAAGCATGGGGATTTATCGTTATTACGAAAAAATTCCACTCATTTATCCTCTGCTTTTAGACCATCTAACTTTAAGTATTCTGGCGAATCATAAAAAATGGAAAAAATTACAATCTCTTCAAACAAGGCTTCAATGTCTATCGGTAATTTAAATATATTTATTAAATTACAAAAACCATCAAATGATGGTTTCTGTTCCAAGGTCATAATATTTATACACTTGTAAATAGAGTTATTAAAATCAAATCTGGATTGTAAATATTCCAAAATTGTCTTAATAAAAATATTTGCTTCATTTAAAAATACGTTAATTATAATAATATTTGAACATTTTAATATGATATTTTTAGCAATAGCGCCATAAAATTTATTATCTATTTTTAACTGTAGAGATGAACAGAGCTGTAGCATGATTTTGTGAATCTTTATCAATAAAGAATCTTCTGATTGCAACTGAATATTAACTACATGAAGTAGATTTCCTACATGCGAAACTAATCCCAAATATGCTTCTGACATTTCAACCTCGAAAGAATTTTTCAAAATTTTAGGACAGCTTTTAAAATCTTTATTTAAGAAGTATTTCTTTAAGGGTTCGTAAAATTTTAAAATTCTCTCGATGGCAGGTATTAATGATAACCACCTGATAGGTACATATCGCAACAACTCACACCATTCCAAATCAGACCACTCCACCAATTCTTTTAATTCAGTGACTCTTTTAGTTGAACAAATTCGTTAAAACATTTCATCACAATTACTTCGACATCTACAGATAGTACATTCATTGCCTTCTTGCAAGAATTATGCAGTATATGGTATATACAGCCAATTGGTATTAATTGATTATTGTGCTGCCTCAATTCGGTAAATACACTTTGATTTGATTAGAATAATATCCACATCTAAAAGTTATATTCTTCTAACACAAAAATTTTGAAAATGTCGAGTGGAGCACTGCAATTCTAGGTAACGATATAAAATATATTAAGTAATTTAAAATATATTTATAATAATTATACATACTGTTCTAACTTCTATTCTTTCTAACACAAAAATTTTGAAAATGTCGAGTGGAGAATTGGAGAATTTTATAAAAAATATATTTTAGAGCGGAAAAATAAAATAAAAGAACTAGACATATTTTTCGAATAAATATTTAAAATTTATTTTAAAAATATAAAAATAATCAAATACTGTCTCTCAAAATTATTATTTATATATTAAAAACATTAAAATGCTAAAAAAAAAATTGTGGGAGAAATTAAAAAATTGTGGGAGATTTCTAATTGTGGGAGTTTTGTGGGAGTGAGATGTATGTGGGTAAACTAAAAAATTGTGGGAGACTCCCACTGATGGGTGGAGACATGGCAACCCTGTTCTAGACCCAGATCACAGGGAAACTTTTAGACCTCCATTTGCCGCCAAAAGATGTTGCCACTTTCCGCCAAGATGAGGCTGAAGGTAGGATTTTGGGAGAGTTACAAAGTATAATACAAGATAATTATTTCTATGTAATATTGACCTACTCGTCCTTGAATTTATAATTTGGGTTCACGAACTCGAGTTGCTAGAATAAAATAAAAATTATATTTCCAGATTAAGAAAAGAATTGTAATTATACAAGATAATTATTTCTATGTTAATATTGAACTACTCGTCCTCAATGCATAAAAATATGATTGAGCAAAGAATACACAAGAAAATATTATATTAAGCTGATTTTGGGTTGGTGCTCAGATAGATTTGGTTTGGTTGGGTCTGGCTCATTTTTTCGCCCAAAAACCTACCCATGAATTATGTTAATTCGAACCAACAAATCAATTTAACAAAACTAGTATTTGTATTCTTATAAAATTAAAAAGGTCATTATAAATACAAGTATTCGCGTTACTTCTCTACCCTGATTCTATTTCCTTGCTTATCGAATAAATGATCTACTTTTCGATTCGGCGAATCAATTTTGGCTCCTCTAGTTTCCAAGGTTCCAACAACCCCATTCTCAGTCGTTTAAAGAGCCTCCTAGTTCCCATTTTTCAGAAAACTTTGTTCTTCCTGATTTATTATACTTCGACTACTTAGAACCCAAAAAATACGAAGCGGAAAAGGAGTTATTACTCACGTATGACATGTCCCAATCGCCATTAACCATAGGCTAGGTTATTTTTTTCCTTTTTTTGACACATGTGCTGCCTCTAGCAAACAGGTAGACCTTATTGATAGGCATTGTTTTTTCTTGTTTAAAAGTCAACTGCCGCATTTTATGGCACCACAATCTTAGTGTTGATCGGCATATATTTAATTTCCATCGTTTTCTTAATGGTTTGGAACCTTTTATAAGATGCCAAACGCCCTGATGGCATATCTTAGCACGGGCGTATCTTGGCTGAGTTGGTCATGCGTCCCTTCATCCACTTCTAATTGGAACTTTGACCTCTTGGAATCCAAAAAATCAAACAGGTTTAAATTAAATTCTTTTAATTTTATCTTTAGTTTTTGAGGAATCGCGCTCCCAAATCCCTAATTTTAAAATCGAGTGGGCAAGAAAATCGATAAGGACTGGTAAAAAATGTGTCCCTTTTCCTAAATCAAAAAACCGAGATTCTAAGAGGGAATCACAATTCTTTATCCCATTATACCTATTGCAATTTTTTTTTCTTATTTATCTTAGAATAAGTATGCACTATATACATTTTTATGATTTTATATAATTCTCCGTGACATGTTATTTAATAAAATCATTTGTTTATAAAACAATATTTTTTACTCAACTATATTATAAATTATCTACATTTTAAACTTGGTTTATTATTATCATAGAGTGAATATTTCTCATATAACTTTTTTGTTTAAAATATACGTATATAAAAATTAATGCTTAGGATTGCAAAATAATGTATTCTTCCTATGATTATTATGTTAATTTTTAAAATTTTGTTTTGTATATTTAAAAAAAATAATCCTACTTAAAATTAGATACACTCATATAGAGGCCGAATGTGCTTTCATCACATTCGACGATCTTTTGAACAGACTGGAGGATTTGGTATGTGATGTAGTCGATAGAGTCCTCAAATCCCCCATTGCTGAATTGTTTTACGAATTAAATCCAGTAAGTAATGACAATTTTTTTTCCAACACGGACAAATGCTCTAGCCTGTCTCGAATAGGCCCTGATATATTTATTTTTGAATTTGGAAAATAAAAATAAATGAATCATAATAGTAGCGAAGCCTTCAGAATTTATTTTGTATATTCGGGTTATCTTAATGTATGCATTGCAGAAAATTTTAATAGCTAATATTTCAGTTGTGAGAAAAAGAAGTTTTTCAATTAATTAATTTGAACCTTATTTAAGATGACTATAACACATGGCCAGGAGCTATAATAATTTATCGATTGAAGAAACGATATATTCTTTTTATAGGGGCAAAAAAAATTAGATTTGCTTGTCCTATTAAAAAAATTGGGCCCATGGTTGTTAGCTATGTGCTCGGGTGCTGAATCGATTCTTAAAAAATACATTAGAATCTATAAATTTATTATCCATTTTCTAGTTCTTCTAGAAAAATTTATAATTATAAGAGCATATCATTTTTTAAGAACTATACCTTATTAGATTCCTGCGAATCGATTTTTACATGTGGTACATGGCCCCACATGAATTAGGAATTATTTGGCTCCACTCCTAGTTTTTTAACATATCTTTTTTAAAATTTTGATATTAACTTAAGAATAAAAGGGAGAATGAGATATTTAAAATTAATATTGGCTGGTTCAATATTTTATTTATGATTTTACTGCCCAGCATAATTACCCCTTAATAAGTAACCCATTCTTTAATATCTCAGCAATACGATTATTTTAACGTTATAGGCTTAACTATCAATGTTACTTGCTTCATTAATTTTTCTGATATATTTTTAGTAGCTGGATTATCAATATCGGTCCATCCTTGAATTTAAGCTATAAAAATGTCTTTCAATTATAATATAACTTTACTTTATGCTTGTTTATTTTTAATAATAAAATTTTAAGAGGAAAGGAAAAAAATAGCAGCATTTTCTTGTCAGTTTGTAGTTTCAATTTTCGCACAATGTGGACTAATTTTTTTTAAAAATTTATGAGTTATTTATTATTTTTGGTGTAGGTTTACAGGTGGATATTTTAATATCATAAATTTCAAAACTTTAAAAAAATTAAAATATTTATTTAGGACTTTATAGCCCCTAAGAGACCATTTATGAGGATGGATTACACAGATGCCCTAGAATATCTGAAGGCCAATGACATCACCAAAGATGATGGTTCATTCTATGAATTTGGCGACGTTAGTAATTTTTTTATTGATTGAAATTATTATATACTTTAGTCTTTAAATTTCTAGTTATTTTATAAACATAATATCTTTTCAATATCACGATTTCATTATGAACTATTTGATTATTATTTTATAATCATCATTAAAACATGATTTCAGGATATTCCAGAAATGCCGGAACGAAAAATGACGGATAAAATTAATCAGGTTCTAAAACATTTTTTATTAAAAATATAATCTAAATCAAAAATTTTAATCTGGTTTTCCTAACTTTGGTTTTATATAATTTAATGAATAACTTATATTTGAGTAATAAGAAAAAGGTTATATTTATCTTTTTTATAATTATACAAACATAAAGCCCATATTATTATGTCGTTTCCCGAGAAACATCAAAGCATTTTATATGCAAAAATGTCCGGAAAATGCAGAGCTCACTGATTCGGTATATATTTTTTTCCGATTACTATTTTGATTTATATATAATAATTAAAATTTAGAAATATTTAACTGGTAAAAAGACGTTTCGAAATACGAATCTTTTAATTTTCTATGTTTATCGGTTTTAAATATTTCCCTCTTTTAACATATTTTAAATTTATGTTCCCTAGAGAATTATAATGGGTAGATTATATTGGGATAATACTTTCAGTTTTTTTTCCGAATAATTTAATTATTTTATATAAGATATAAAATTTACCTTTTTATCTTATAGATGATAAATACTTCTACGTTTTTTTAAATGAGAAAAATTATTTTAAATGCTTTTCTCTTATAGACCGATTTATGATGATGTTATGTTTAAAATTTTGAACGATGAAAATCATTTTTAAAAAATTAAATGGATAATAAGTAATTTATACAAATTATTTTTTAATTATTACATTATAGCAAATTTCAACTTATAGCACTAACATCTCAACTTTCAAATAAATATTCAAATAATTATTTTTAGGTAGATGTTTTGATACCAGGAGTAGGAGAAATAGTCGGTGGCTCCATGAGGATATGGGATTACGATGAATTGATCGAAGGCTATAAACGAGAAGGGATAGATCCTACTCCATACTATTGGTATACGGATCAGGTTTTATAAAACAGTTAACTATACTGCACTTATAAATTTAATAGTAATCGTGACTTTTAATTGGACAAAAATAGTTTTCTTTTCTAGTATTTCTTAGTTATTTTTGAAATTAATAATAAATTATAGTGTTGTTAGATGACTCGATTTGAACCGATTTTTAAAAACGACTAATTCAATATTTTAGCCAAAAAAATATTGCTTATGTCTCGCTATTTCGCTAATAGATGCCCATCTTTGTGTTATCTATAAGTAAAATCTTCAGACTTGCTTAGTATTTTTCTGGATAAAATATTGAGTTAGCCTTTAAAAATCAGCTTTAATCGAGCCACACTTGTACATTATGATAATCAAAGTTTACTCCAAAAGAAATATTATATTTTGATAGAATATTTATGTCCTAATGGCTTTCCTTTTAAATTTAATCATGAAAAGCTTGTTATATATGAGTTATAATATTTTAATATTAGAATTTTGATGAATTAGATCAATGTCGTTTTTTCTTGCACGATGCTGGTTAAAATTCTATTATATTAAGCAAATTTTTACACTTTTTAAAATGGCCAAAATTTATATTACAGCGCAAATATGGAACTTGTCCCCACGGTGGCTATGGCTTAGGGTTCGAACGATTTTTGACCTGGCTACTTAATCGATACCATATTAGGGATGTTACATTATTTCCTAGATTCGTAGGAAGATGCAAGCCTTAAAAGGATATATATTATTTTTACGATTTTATCAAATAATATCATTTTTATTAATACCATATTGCATGTAATACATCGATTTATACTTCGCTATACTGTATACTAAACTATTTTTTTAAACTCTTCTATGATATGGATTTATTCCTGTTATCTTTGTGCATCATATCATAGCATATATATGATTTTAATTTAATAATTATCATTTTTTAAGATTTGTAAATTTGTCAGTGTTAAGAATTTTATTATTTTTTTTATCTTTATTGATTAGGTGAGTTTTTTATATTCCGATTAATATTATTACATAGTAAATTAATGAATTTTTTACTAGTAAATTATTTTAATGGCCCAAAGTAGCTCATTTCATTTTCATATATTTATAGTTTTTATGTATTGAAAAACAATGATTTGTTATTGCATATTGCACCTTTATATTCAATTGTTATAACTATTTTCGATATAAAATTAAAATTTTATTTTAGTGTTAAATTTCTAATTCAAAATATATTACAATCATGAGAACCTTTTGTATAGAGTACTTGATATAAAAACTCATTATATAAATTCAGATATGGCACCCCCGCACATCAAACCTTAGTACTGAATTCTGGGATTTTACTCTTTTATTCCTCAATATTTTGATATTTTTGTCACCACCCTTTTACGCATCTTCGAAATAATCGCTGCTGTTGTAATTCTCATCGTAAAAATGGTTAACATTTAAATTATCTCGTGGCCTTAGATGTAATCGTGTTTCTCTTGCCACTAATCTATAAAATGTATACGCAAAGCATCTGCCGTAAAAGGAGCAGGTAGACATCTGAGCCTGGGTCTTTGAACGTCCAAATTTTTGAGATCCTCTAAATTTTCTAACCTTTCCTTTCGCCTGGATCTATATCATTATAGATCTGAAATATTTGACATTAAAATAAAGTTAGATAATTAAAATTTTACTAATTCATCGCCATTTCTGTCCGTAAATTTAAACCATTTGTGAACCAGTATTCATTGAATTGTAGATTTCGATCCATGCCTTTAATTTCTAAAACAACCGCATATCTCTCTAACATGAAAAACAATCGTTTTTAAGAAACGCACTCTGTAAATATAATATAAATTATGTCGGGCATTTAAAAAAATATATATACTTACGGCTCAATTCTTCATATCAACCCCTGCTAACAAACGCCTTTATTAATAGGAAACTCCCTTTTTATGCGCAATTTTCGTAATTTATCTGCATTGAAATTATAGCCCTGGTCTTAATATTTATTCTCCATAGCTGTTCTTTATCGTGATTTAAATACAATTTGGTGGCTCGATTCATGAGCCACTTATTTGTCACGGATCTCAATGTCTGACCTTGTTTAATAAGTTGATTTAACTCAACAATTTTCTTTAATTCTTGCAATCTGATATCCCTTTAGTAATGGAAATTTTGTATAATAATCCGTATTTTAAACTTTATTTCAGGAATCCAACTAATCAAACTGCTATTTTCTGAACTATCACATATAAACCCAGCGTCACCTCTTGGATAATCTATTGTAATATTTTAAATATGAACTCTATCAAACCTTTTTCAATTTTTCCCGTAATTGTATGGTTTACAAGTATATCGATATTTTTCCGTAAGGAAGCAAGTTATAACATACCCATTTTCACAAGTTAAACTTTTACATTCATTAACATCTAATAAATTTATTAATTAGTAAACCTTTTTCACAAAATTTTTCCCACTCGGAATAACATTGACATCTAAACAACGAGATTTCGGGATTTCCTTTTGTTAAATTGGGGGAAAGCTTTGTAGTTAAATCTTCACATTCTCCATTAAAACCACAGAAATCCACTCGCGAAAAATTAGGATTACATTCATCTCGTATTATAAAATATAATTATTTTTAGTTAGTTAGTAAATAATTTTTTCTATTGTAAATTTTTGTAATTTATTTTAAGTTTTAATCTTATATTTTGGTGTAAAAATTTTTAAGGAGAAAATATTTAAAATGTTTTCTAAATTCATAATTTTCTAGTTAAATTTAAAAAAAAAAATTGGATAAATAAAATAAATAATCTGGAAAATTTTATTAGCTGATTGTTAAACGGGCAATATATATGTCAGTGAGTGTAATCGGTAGAGAACTAACTTGTAGAAGTTATTAGGCTTGGCCTGGAATCATATTTTTATTTAATGAAGGAAAACAACTTAAATTTCCCTAATGCCTTAAAAACTTTTTCGAAATTTCGGTCCGGACTGCTAAAATATTATAAACAATGTGTCCAGTTCAAAAAATATCCAGCCGGCCTAGTATGCGCATATCCCTAGTAATCGATACAGATTATTCATTTATTCCTCATTTTTAATTCATTAAAAATGAAAAAAGATAATAAATATTCATTTATTCCTCCATTAAAAATGAAAAAAGATAATAAATTAATTATTTTAATTGCTAATTTTAATTCCTATCGAAAAAGAGTTGGTTCAAGTAGACAGGATATCACAGTCGGCACATGAGTGAAAATTGTTTTAAAACATTTAATCTTATAAATTGTTTAACTTTAGGCTGCGTCTTAACAAAAGTTTCTGTAAATTTCTATAAACGATTTGGAAATGAAAGGCCCACACGCTCGATTATAACACAACCTTAGAGACTTATTTATTAAATACTAAAACATCAATTCGTAGTTGGATTCGTTTTCTACTCTCAATCAAAAATAGCAATTTTTTACTTTTCTCGATTTTCATGATAGGATTATAATGAAAGAGATTTAGGCATAACAAACCTATGTCCTGCCATGTTAGGACTTAGGATCTAATTGTAGCTTATGAGCATTTCAAGATTCATTTCTATAGATTATTTGGAAATTAACATTTAACGCTAATACTCTGCAGTTAATAAATCCTAGCATAAGACTAATTAATTATATATGTATAATATGCAAATTTCTTAAAGTTTAAATTAAAAACAAAAAAAACTTAAAACATGTCCTAATTAGAAAATCCTCAAAAAATTTAAACTAGAACGTGAACAAAATTTTATCCACAAAAAGAGGAAAGTGGAAAAGGTTCGAGAACAAATATATTAATAATTTTTTATATAATATTATACTTTCTCCTGGCTTAATTGGAGGTATCTTGCTTGCTATAAATTAATTTTCTAATTTCCAAAAAATTTCGTCTGAATTAAATTTATGTATAATACAAATAAATATCTTCTATTAGTGTTGTCAAAAACCTTTAGACGCTTTAAAAAAAGGCAAAATCAACATTTTAGCCAAAAAAACTTCAAGATTTGGACAAGAGGCCCAAATCTTTCTACAATCTATATGCGAGATCTACAGGTTTAGGTAATATTTTTGGTTTTTTTTAAATAGCTAGAATTGCAGTTTCGACAATATTAATGACATTAACTGCTAATTAATTTAACACAATAAGCTCGTAGATGTAAATCTATTTTTATTATTAGGCTTATATAGTATTCTCTGGCAACGTGTGTTTCTTTATACATACATTTCGAATTAATTTAACTATATATATATATATAAGTTGAGCATGAAGTATTAAATGCCCTTTTTACTGCCAGCTAAGATTAAACCTCAGCCAAAAATTGAAATCTTACCTCGCTTTAAAAAGCGTCTACATGATAAATTTGTTAGAAACAAACCCTCTTCCAAACATACTCTACCTCTTTAAAATAGATTCGCCATTTTACTTTAGTAAATTGATGATGTAAACAAAATTCCTTAAGATTTAATATTATCCCAATTATTTGAACCACTATTTGTAACACTCATTATACAAAATCATAGTTATTTCAGGCATCATAATTTAGGATAGGAATAATAAAAACATTGGTTGTTACTAAAAAGCATTTCCGAGCATGTATAAGTCAAACTTGTAAAAAAAATACCTATGAATGAATAATTTAAAACTTAATTCAGCAATCGAACAATAATTTAGAATCCTTTTACCCTTAAAATCTACAAATATTTTGTCCTTTTATTTTACCCACGACTAGATACCTACTTCAAAAACCACTGTCGCTCATGTAGACGTCTAGAACCAAATTTCGAGGTCTCAGCACCATTTACAATCATGTTTAAAAAAATCATAAAAAGTATTAGTAATTCAAAATTTCTAAAGCTTTCTCTTATCAATTTCTAGCGTATGTCAGATTTTCCCCATAATTTCATATGCCATTCATCTGTGTTAAAAATATTGATACTAGAGGCAGCAATGGTGAGATTTTCTTGCGATCTGATTTGATCATTGGTAGAGTTTAGCGGATTTTTGGCGATATTAATTAAAGATGGCGTATTTCATGTTATACTGTTTTTGCTTCCAAAAAAGAAAAATGGCATTGACCGTTGTGGATAATCATCATTTAAAATTTTATAAATTGTACAATATTTATTACTTTGTAATTATAACCAAGAGCACAATAATTTTATAGAATTCATTATTTTATAAAATAACGATAATATTTTATCATTTCTTATCATTTTAATAGCGTAAATTATTTTAATTTAAATGAACAACACATGAAATAATTGTTGTTAAAAAACATAATATATTGACAAAATTTGATTGGGTAAAAATCATAATTGTAAGTTATTTTTAAGCGAGTAACATTAATTTTAAGTAACTCAATCATTTAATTCCGATAACATTAAACAGAATACCAATAAAATATTATAAGTAACACATCTCAAGATAATAATATGAAATAATTTTATATGCAATTATTTTTGTGTACTTTTCATTTATTTAAAAAGTAAGAAGTAATGACTCTATAAACTATTATTTGGTGTACTTTTCATTTATTTAGAAAGTAAGAAGTAACGAACATATAAACGATAGACACATTGATTTTTTATTTATATAAATCTTCAGATTCATCTGTAAAGGACACTTTAAAGCTAACTCGATAAAAAATTGTTTACAAGGAAACTAGGCAGGTGTCGTAACGTTACAAAAAAGGCATAATATTTAATCTCTAGACTTAGCATAATCTTTTAAAGAGTGTCATACTTAAAACGGATTATTCGATTCGTATTTTACTAATACGAATAACAACATTGTTTCCGAATATGGACAATATATGAGTCGTTGAATCATTTTATCCCAATTATTTAACCCAATGATTCGAAATTATTGGTATAAAATTATTT